CTTACCTAACCTCAACCTAACCCTTCCTTATACCTAACACTTTCCACAATCCTAACAATAACTCTAATCTCATACCTTACTTCAACCCCAAATCTAACATATCTAACCCTAAGATTAACCCTAATGCTAATCCAAACTGCACCCATAACTTTAACCCTAACCTTAACCCTATACCTAATTTCAACCCTAAACCTGATCCTAACTTTAAACCTTACCCTATACCTAATCTTAAACCAATCCTAATCCTAAACTAATTCTAACCCTGACTCTATACCTAACCACAATCCTAGCCCTAACCCTATACCTAATGCTCTCTATATTCATAAACCTAACCTTAACATAAACCTTAACCTTATACTTAAACTCAACCTAACCCTAACATTAAATCTAACTTTCTAAACTTAACCAACCACATTGAGAGTGGTAGGAGGGACAAAGACAGAACAAGCTACCCCTGCTTCCCACTCTCTCCCCCAGCCAGGGTTCCAGTACCAGGAAGAGAAGTTCCCATAACTTCTGGCTGTAAGAACCAGCAGGGTTGCAGCTGAGGAAGACAAAGAGCTGCTGGAATCCCAGGAAGTTCCTCATAAAGAGCCCATGCACAGATTTATTTAGACTCATTCCCTCTGGACTCGTGCTGGGGCAACAGCTTGAAAGAAACCAGGGACAAAGAGGAAGAAACAGAATTGTCTGGCATCAAATTGAGAGCTTGGGAGGGGCAACTTTCTGCCAGACAAAAGTGCTGGCAGAGGCTATTGTTCCTTTTCTGAGACAATTGCCCCAAAGAGCAGCAGGTGGGCACCATATCAGAGTCTCCATTGACCTGGCTCACACGGTGTGCCCCCACCATGGTGATTCCCTGAGACCCTGCCCCACCAAATAGCAGGCCCATCCAGTAGTTTTTCAATACAAATGGCTTGCACCATACCTCTCGCTAAGTGGCCCCAGACCTAAGTGGCCCCAGACCAGGCACTAGCCACAGCCAGCCTCGGTTAGCAGCTTGGCCTCACTTGGGCATCTCCAAGCCCAACACAAGTAGCAGCCATCTTCAGATCACTTTGTAGCTCATGCCAGGGGGCCCCAGGCAGGACAATAGTGGTGGCTGATCTTGGCTGGCACCTCCTGGGAAGCCCCAGAACCAGGGCACCTCGTAGACAGCTTCAGGCCACATTACAGCAACATCCAACCACCTCCACAAATGATACACTCAAGGGGTGGACTCAGCAGACATCAGAGCCCTGCTGAATTAAGTCCTACTCTGTGGGGAGGGCCGCTGCACAGCTGATCCTCCATGGTGGTTGGTGGTAGTGGCCAGTCCTTGCTGCTGATCAGCCTGGGGGATAAATCCCTCCCACTGACGTGCCAACAGTAATCAAGGCTCAACTACAACAGGAAGGTGTACACAGCCCACAGGGGGTTGGGGGAGAGGTGGGGAGATACACCTCAAGTGCCCAGCTTGGGTGATCATGGAGGCTGTGCCACTGGACCCTACAGAACACCTACTACATTAGGGCACTCTACCAAGCCCCGGAGACACAGCAGCTCTACCTAATACACAGAAGCAAACACAGGGAAGCTGCCAAAATGAGGGGACAAAGAAACATGTCCTAAAGAAAAAAACAAAACTCCAGAAAAAGATGCAGAGTTCAAAATGCTGGTTATAAGGACACTCAATGAACTTAGTGAGAGCTTCAACAGCATAAAAAAGGACCAGTCAGAAGTGAAACATACCCTACTCAGTGGTTCTCAACCTTCCTAATGCCGCGACCCTTTAATACAGTTCCTCATATTGTGGTGACCCCCAATTTCATTGTTACATATTGAACATAATTAAAGCATAGTGATTAATCACAAAAACAATATGTAATTATATATGTGTTTTCCGATGGTCTTAGGCGACCCCTGTGAAAGGGTCGTTCGACCCCCAAAGGGGTCGCGACCCACAGGTTGAGAACCGCTGCCCTAACTGAAATGAAGAATAATCTATAGGGAATCAACAGTACAGTAGATGAAGCTAATAATCAAATCAGTCATTTGGAATATAAGGAAGCAAAAACACCCAATCAGAAGAGCAAAAAAAAAAAAGAATCCAAAATAAAAAATGAGTATCAGGAGCCTCTGGGACAACTTCAAGTGAACCAACATTTGCATCATGGGATTGCAGAAAGGAGAAGAGGGAGAGCAAGAAGTTGAAAACCTATTTGAAAAAAATGACAGAAAACTTCCCTAACCTGGTGAAGGAAATAGACATACAAGTCCAGGAAGTTCAGAGTCCCAAACAAGATGAACCCAAAGAGGCACACACCAAGATACATCATAATTAAAATGCAAAGGGTTAAAAACAAAGAATCTTAAAAGCAGTTAGTTACCTACAAGGGAGTGCCCATATGACTGTCAGCTGATTTCTCAACAGAAACTCTGCAGGCCACAGGGAGTGGCAATAAATATTCAAAGTGATGAATAGCAAGAACCTACAACCAAGATTACTCTACCCAGCGAAGCTATCATTTAGAATCTAAGGATAGATAAAGAGCTTCCTAGACAAGAAAAAGCTAAAGGAGTTCATCACCACCAAATTAGTATTACATGAAATGCTGAAGGGTCTTCTTTAAGAAGAAAGTGGAAAATCTATAAAAATGATGAACAATAAAATGGCAATAAATATCTATCAACTATGGAATCTAAAAACAAAATAAACTAGCAGAACAGAAACAGACTCCATAGATACAGGGAACATTTTGACAGTTGCCAGATGGGAGGGAGTTGGGGAAAGGATAAAAAAGGTGAAGGGATTAAGAAATACAGATTGGTTACAGAATAGTCATGAGGATGTAAAGCATTGAGAATATAGTCAATATTCTAATAAGTATGTATGATGTCAGATGGGTACAAGATTTATTGGGATGACCACTTAGTAATATATTGTCTAGTCACTGGGTGTATACCTGAAACTCATATAATAATACTGTATGTCAACTGTAACTGAAAAATAAAAAAATGATTTTAAAAAAACTTAGACTGCCCAAGATTCAGTTTTCTCCTCTGTGAAAAAAGAATACTGAGAGAATAATAATAGTATTCCTAATTTATCAGATTACTTCCAATTGGTTTGTCTATTACCATTTATAAAACATTGAATATTATATTATGGGCTAAAAATATTAACAATATGGAGTGTCTATTCTTATGAAGTTTACAATCTAATTTGAGAGACAAAGCATAAAGACTTAGAATTTGTAAATGTGGTATAAAGACACAATGGAATACTATTCAGCCTTAAAAAGGGAAGTAAATTCCAATATGCTGCAATATGAATGAACCTCAAAGACATTATGCTAAGTGTGGGGAAAACAGTGAAAAAGGACAAATACTGTATGGCGTACTGAGAATTGTCACATTCATACAGATAGAAAGTAGGATAGTGGTTGCCAGAAGGTAGAGGGAGGGAGAAAGGGGAGTTGTTTAATGGCTACAGTGTGGGAGGTCAAAAGTTCTGGAGATGAATGATGGTGATTGTTGCACAAAAATATGTACGTGCTCAAAGCCACTGAACTGTATAGTTGGAAATGATTAAAATGGTAAACTTCATATTATGTACCTTACCACAATAATAAAAAAGATTTAAAATTTAAATATTTACATAAGGAAAATTAAAGTTCAACACTACATTGTAACATAAACCAGTAAATTAGAAATTGTCAAATGTCATTTTAATTTTAATGTATACATTTTTAAATAAAAATAATTTTACTTTAATTTAAAAATATAAATTTTAAAAAGAGACAGTAGAAATGAGATGTACGAGGCTGGTGTTGGTGTCACACAGCATAATGTTGCACAGGAAACTTTTTAAGTAGAAAGAGGACACTAAAATAATGATAAAAGTATTGTATAGTAAATACATTAACCAATAACATGGTCATTTATTATCATTATCAAGTATTATGTGCTGTACTTAATTATATGTGCTACACTTTTATATGACTGTCAGTAGGTGTGTTCACACCAGAAGCACCACAAATACATGAGGATAGCTGCATCATCACTAGACCATAGGAATTTTTCAGCTCCATTATCATATTATGGGATCATGATTGTACATGTGGTCTGTCGTTGACCAAAATGTGATTATGTGACACATGACTATACATATAAATGAAGAGAACTGAAATGAGAGCCCAGAAATAAGCCCATCCGTCCACAGACATCTGATGTTTGACAGGGGCAGACATCATCAGATTGGGTCAAGAAAGGTCTTTTCAACAAATGGTGCTGACTATTCACCAGCAGAGCAATGAAACTGGACCCTTACCTCACAGCACATACAGAAATTAACTCAAAATATATAAAAGGTTTAAATGTAGTAGGTAAAATAAACTCTCAAAGAAAACATGAATCTTCATGACCTTGGATCTTACAAAAAGCACAGGCAATGAAAGAAAAAAATAGATGAGATTTCCTCACAATTAAAACCTTTTGTGCATCAAAAGAAGCTATCTAGAGAGTGAATCGACAGCCCACAGAATGGAACAAAATAGTTGCACATTGTATCTCTGATAACTGTTATCCGGAACACACAAGGTCCTGTACAACTCATCAACTAAATCTTTAAAATGGACTCGGATAGACCCTTCTCCCGAGAAGACACACAAATGGCCAACAAGCACAGGAAAAGACGTTATAAATCCTTAGTCGTGATGGAAATGCAAATTAAACCCACAATGGTAACCCTTCACACTCACTAGAATGGCTATAATCTAGAAAACCACAAATAATAATTGTTAACAATGACATAGAGAAATTCGAACCCTTAGACATTGCTTGTGCAAATGTAAAATGGTGCGGCCATTTTACTTTGTGTACAATAGTTTGGTGTTTCCTCAAAAGAATTACCAAATAGTTCAACAACTCCACTGGCAGTTCCTCAAAAACTTAAACACGGAATTAATGTGTAATCCAGCAATTCTAATTCAGGGTACATACCCAAAAGATCTGAAAGCAGGGACTTGAACAGACATTTGTGCACCCATATTCATAGCAGCACGATTCACAGTAGCCAGGGGTGGCAGCAACCCAAGTGTCCATCAATGAATGAATGGACAAACACAATGTGATATATACACAGTGAGATATTATTCGGCCTAAAAACTGAGGAAATTCTGACTCCGGCTACAACATGGATCAACCCTGAGGTCATCATGCTAAGTGAAATAAGACAGTCACAGAAAGACAAATATTAAATGATTCCACTTATAGGAGGCACCTGCAGAAATCAAATTCAGAGAAAGTAGAATGTAGTCAGGGAATAGGGGGAAAAGGAGAATAGGAAGTTAGTGTTTAATGGATACAATTCCACTTGAGGAAAATAAAGTTCTGAAGATGGATGGTGTTGATAGCTGCACACAATGTAAATGCAGTTAATGCCATAGAACTCTATACTTCAAATGGTTTAAGCTGTAAATGTCAAGTTGCATATAATAAATCACAATGAAAAAAAATGAAGTACTGACACATGTTACAACACTGAAAGAAACATCCATCCGAAGTGAAGGAAGCTGGGCAGAAACAGGCACCCAGGTCAGAGTCATCTATGAACTTTAACTCCATCAGGGTTGTGAAAATGAGGGTAAGTCTCGGTAACAGACCAGAAGAACAGGATGGTCTCAAATGGAAAAAGACCTTTCACACCGCTGGGACAGGCGGTGAAAGCTGACGTGGGACCATGGACGAGATTACAACGTGGAAACCAACACGATCTTCTGGGACAGTGCACTTACTCTGCATAGAACACACTGCAGTGCTTCATGCGAAATGGCAAATGTGGCGAAGCCATGACGGCTGCGGAATCTGAGTGCAGAGAGGAGTGCATGTCTGTGCTGCTACTGAAACAGAGAGAGGGATAGAGAGTTAGAAACATCGATGAGAGAGAAGCATCGATCAGCTGCTTCCTGCACCCCTCCTACTGGGGATGTGCCCGCAACCAAGGTACCTGCCCTTGACCGGAATCAAACCTGGGACCTTTCAGTCTGCAGGCCGACGCTCTATCCACTGTATCCACTGAGCCAAACCAGTTAGGGCTGTGGGGTTTTTTTAAACAGGAGAGAGAGGGGGAGAGAGGGGGGGAGAGAGACGGGGGAAGAGAGAGCAATTGGTTGCCTCCTGACCAGAATTGAACACACAATCTTTTGGTGTACAGAACAACGCTCCAACTAATTGAGCCTCCTGGCCAGGGCCTTTTCTAGACTTTTAAAATTACTGGAAAGTAAATCAATATTCAAAACACCTGTGTCAATACCGAGCCAGAGACACAGAGAAGAGCCAGGTTTGTTACAGAGGCCAAGTCCTACGCAGACCCAGTTCACCCACGTGGTGAAGCTAATCGCCCATGGAGCAGTCCCCATGGCAGGGAGAGGCATTATGGGAAGATTATATTAGTAGCCACTATGCCTTGGGTATCACAGGTGCCCTGGGATGTGGTAGGCACAGCAGAATTTTTTAATTCCAATTTTCCACATCACTCACTCCACATCCAAAAAGCTGTTTGTTTGCAGAATCCAAAATCCAGTACATTTGCAGAATATAAAACCAACATACCCAAATCAGTTGTGTTTCTATACACTGATAATGGACCACCAGAAAGAGAAAATAAAAAAATAATCCCACTTACAACTGTATTAAAAAGAACAAAATAACTAGAAATAAATTTGGCTAAGGAGGCAAAAGACTCATACACTGAAAACTGCAAGACACTGATGAAAGAAACGGAAGACACAAATGAATAAAAAGATATCCCGTGCTCATGGATGAGAAGAATTAATATCGTTAAAATGCCCTTATTACCCACAGGGATCCTCAGATTTACGGCAATCCTGATGATTAAATTCCAATGGCATTTTCACAGAAATAGAACAAACATTCCTAACATTTTTTGAAACCACAAACAGCCAAAGCAATCTTGAAAAAGAACACTGGAGGCATCAGGATCCCTGACTCCAAGCTACATTACAAAGCGATCATCACCAAAACAGGTTGGTATTGGCATAAAAACAGACACGGGCCAATGGGAGCAGAACAGAGAACAGAGAAATGAACCTTCATAAATGGCGGTGGTAACAACGGACAGCCACACACAAAACAACAAAAAAGCAACACACTGGTTACACCACACAGAAAAAAAAACAAAATAAAACAACAAAAAAACGAAAGAAAAAATAAACAACTCTCCTCTCATAGCAGAGCCTCCAGGGCGGGTGCTGAGGTAAACCAGCGTCCTCTGCACAGACACGGCTCACACTGTCCCCCCACATTGTCCGGAAGGTCTGGTGGGGTCTCCTGTGCGTCCTGAGATGGAGCTCAGCTTGCTGGGGGGAGAAGGCATGTAGGGGTCAGCACGCGCATGCGCCAGTGGGGTCTTCAACGTGGGCTCAGCTGGCCAGCTGGGCAGCTCACAGTTCAGTGGAGGCCACGCCCCCTTGGGGCAATCCAGCTGAATCCATTAAATTTGGGAAATTCTAGCTAAATAAAATCATCCATCTCATGACCTCCAAAAACACATGAAGTGTAATTAATTGGAGACCATATGGGATGAAATGAATGTAGACACAAACTTTACAACAAACACCAAAACGCACTCAAAACTATCCTTTCCTGCCTGGGGAAATGTTGTATCTCAGCTCCAGCCCAGGTAAGCAACAAACCCGCCAAGGCTGCCCTCAGGCCCAGCTGCATTGAATAGTGACCTCCTGCCCTGGTGCCTGCCAGCCAATCAGTGGAGAGCACAGTCCTGAATGGCCACACCTGGAAAGCACCCCTAAAACCCTCAGCAGCGGATCCAGTGCGCTCTCCCTCCCAGGAGCACACACCCGCCTTCCCCTTCCCCCTCCCTGTTCCAGGCTCGTTACCGTTAGCTTCCTCACTCCCACGCTCCAAGGACCCTTCCTTTACCTCTAGAACTTATTTCCTAAGCCCATTTCTTCTGGGAATGACTTCTTCTCCCTCTGTGATTTCCCAAATAAACGTTCTCTTACAGTTTGGGTCTTGGCTCTGAATTCTTTCCTAGCCAGAACCCAAGTACCGAGGTTGCCGAACCCAGGTTTGGTCTGAGCCCACCACCTACATTTTCAATGAAGGCCCCGACTTAAATCTGCGTTAACAACCATACCCTTGTTTACTGTTCTGCTGGACAACCTGCCTTAAAGGGCTTCCCCCTACCCCAACATCTTTCTTTTGTTTTTAGCTCAAGATGGTATCTAAGGTAATGACTTGGGCTACTTCAGGGAGCTACTCAGTTTTCCTATCCTTCACGTGTCAGGGAGATAAACTTGGTTTTCTCCTGTTAATCTGTCTTTATTACAGGGGAGTCTCCGCCAACCTAGTGGAGGGAAATTACTTCCCTCCGCTACACAAGCAATGGAACACAATTCAAAACAGAAAGGAATGAACCTCAACCTGGAGAAGGAGTGGGTTCTACCCAAAGTAACCCCACCGGGAGATCTGATTGCAAATTCCTAACTCAGAAGGTCACGGTGGGTAGCCACACCCCAGGCATATAACTTTTCTAGTAAAAGGTTTTTATCTTTCTTTGCCTTAAGCAAGCCCTAGCCATTGTTTTTGTGCATCCTGGTTAACACACCTTTGAAGTAAGCTGAAACACGCTTTTGAAATAACTACCCTCCAGAGAGAACGTAATCTTATTAAATATCCTGAATCCACCCCCCTTTCTCCAACCCCCTGGCTCATTTAATCTCCCTTCCATTCCCTCCTTAGTTCCAAAGGCATGAGACACTGCGAAACTGTGCTTCTCAGGTGCATTTGAGAGCGTGCTTCCTGGCAACTGTAGCCAGTTCTGGCTCAAATTATCTCTTACAGAAATTCTCTACAGGCTTGAACGTTTCTTATGTAAACCCATGTAAGGATATGGCTGAATCTTACATGGATATCGCCAAGTAAAAGAATCCTGTGTGAAGAGGCCACACACTATATGACCCCATTTCTATACCATTCTGGGAAAGACAAAACTACAGCGATGGTAGACTATGGTGTGGAGGGTTGAAATGTTCCACAGAATATTTTAGTGATGGATATCAGCCATTGTGCATTTATGAAAACCCATAGTTTTTTACAGCCCAGAGACTAAATCATAACCTATTCAAATTAAGTTATTTAGGATGTGGGAGTGTCACAGAATGGAATACAGAGTATGCCAAAGAATGTAACCATATGAGAAATGTAGAAAAGTCACTGTAGGTGGTGGGGCAAAAGGTGCTGACCTACATAACTCTGAAAAGGAACAGAATCTATAGACTAAAGCAAAATGTACTGTATGTACACAGTGAGCTCTATTTTATAGTTATTTCCCTTGGGGTAGTTTACAAACCTGAAACCACTCTCTATATAATCTGGAATGGAGGGATGAATCAAGTACGCCGCAGACGACCCTAGCTGGGTAGCTCAATTGGTTAGAGCAGTGGTTCTCGACCTTGGCTGCACATTAGAGTCCCCTGGGAATCTTTAAAATCCTGATTTCTGGGCCTCATCCTCCTGGATTCTGTTTCTTTGTTACTAATGTTGTGGCCCCACCCCACAACAAAGAAACAGAATTTCCGGAGGATGAGGCCCAGAAATCAGGATTTTAAAAAGATTCCCAGGTGATTCTTAATGTGTAGCCAATGTTGAGAACCACTGGGTTAGAGGGTCTCTTCCCGATACCAAGGTTGCAGGTTCGGACCCCGGTCAAGGGGAGGTTACACTATCCATGTGATAATGGATCAGGCTGGAGACAACAGTATAAATTCATCTTTAGCTTAATATAGATACAGACAGTTCCACATAGAAATCTTTATATTTAGGTGCGTATACGCAGGTGGGAATGCATGCACACATTTCCTTGCACGGTCACCTGAGCACATTAGCTCCCACGTGATGTAGGTTTTTAATGCCATTCGGTACTAACAGGAACCAGGGCCCTCGGAAGAAATGGCCGACGAAAGGCGTGGCTGTGACTTTCATTTAGCTTGTTGACTTCGAAACCACTTGTTGACTTCACAACACAGCTCAGCTGAGCCGCTGCCAAGGGAGGGCTCTCCCCCTGCTGTAGGAACAGTCCTCAGAATGGCCGTGAGGAACAGAGATGCTGATAACATTTGTCAAGCAAATGCCCTAATTTACTAAAAATCCACATATACATTACATTTTACAAAAACAGCATTTATCTAGATCTCTTGGTCCCTTCCCTAAGCCAACAAAAGAAGGGGTACTGAGGGAGCTCTATTCATAATGGAGGGTCCCCATCCAAACATTAGGGCAGCCCGGGCACCACCAGGCCAGGCCCCTTGTCCAGTGCACAGGAGGTGGGTTTAATAGAAACCCCTCTGGGAACCAGCCTGGAGCACCTGGAGCCTGGAGCACTTCACTGCCATCCCAGGTGAGGGCCCTGCCGGCACCGCGGACATCCTGACCCACAGCCTGAGTTCCAGCTGGGGCCCTGCCTGGGCGGCTTCCTGCCTCAGGAGTTGGAGACTGGGTACCCATAGTGGTTGCGGTCAGCCTCACCCAGGGTCAGCGTCAGTGACAGGCTAGGCTTCCGTTCCAGCTCCCCTTCTTCCAGGCAGTGCTGTGGGGGCCGGGCTTTGAAGAAGTCGGAGATGTAGCGAACCTGGGTGAGGAAAAGAGGCAAAAGTGGGCTGGGCAGGGGTCGGACCGGGACCCAGTGAGGGAGGTGGGGAATGGGACCCTGGGAAGCAAGTGGGGGGGTGAGGGGTGGTAGAACCCACGAGGGGATGAGAACTGTGCTGGGGGCAATAAAAAAGCAGAACCTGGGATGGAAAGTCTGGGATCTTAGGGTAAAGACGGGAGTAGAGAACTAGGGACTATAAAAGGGAGAAAGAGGGTAAGCGGGTCCCAGGGAAAAATGTTGGGGCCCAGGAGCTCACAGTGAGGCAGGCCACCAGTGCCCCCTGCAGGAGGCCCACGAGGACATCACTCCAGTGGTGTTTGTGGTCAGATACGCGGGTGTAGCCCACATAGAGGGCAAAGGCCACCAGGAAGAACTGCACCGTGGGCCGCAGCAGCCGTGCCCACTTCCAGCAGAGCCGCGCCTGCACATAGAGCTGGGGGTGCAGAGGGCAGCCATGAGCTCAGGAGCCTGCCAGGTTCACCCCACGGCCAATGCACAGATGGTAGCCCGAGGCCAAGAGTACAGAAGGCCCAGGGCCTCCAGTTTTTATGAACAAACCACTTAGCCCAACCAATCCCCTCCTCCACCCACCCTGTTTTATGGATGCAGAAACTGAGGCCCAGCAAAGGGGAGTGACTTGGCCACAGTTCCACACCAAGCAAGGCACAGGAAAACCAACTCACCGCCAAGAACACCATGCAGTACATCCCAAAGGAGGAGTGTCCAGAGTAGAAAGATAATCTAAGAGAGGAGAGGGCAGCAGGCATCAGGAGGGCTCATGCTCAGAGCCCAGACAGCATCTCTACCTTCAATACCCTCCTGGTCTCTTGTCCTCTTCCACTGACCTTCCCACAATCTAAGGGAGAATTTTCCTTGGCAACATGGCCAGTGTTAGACATAATGGGAGTCCCAACAGAAGAGGAGAGAGAGAAGGGGCAGATAGAGTATCTGAAACACCTCAATTTTAAAAAAATCCCCAAACATGATGAAAAACTTTATACACTCAGGAAGCTCAATAAACTCCAAGTAGAATAAATTCAAAGACATCTACACAGATACACATTATAATCACACTACCAAAAAAAAAGTCAAAGAGACATTCTTAAAAGCAGACAAGAGAAAGGACTCATTGTGCACATGGGACCCTCAATAAGATTAGCAGCTGTCTTATCAGAAACCATGCCGGTCAGAAGGTGCTAGATTACATATTCAAATAATTAAAACAGAAAAAAAACTGTCAACCAAGAATTCTATATCTAGCAAAATTATCCTCTAAAAGTGGAGAAATTAAGACATTCCCAGATAAGCAAAGATCTAGAGAATTCAATGCTTGTACACCTGCCCTATGAGGAATGCTAAAAGGGAGGCTCTCTCAGGGAGAAATGAAGGATACTACTAGACAGTAACTCAAATCCACACAAAGACATAGAAAACACCAGTAAAGGTAGTTACAAAATAGAAACGTCAGTATTAATGTATTTTTGGTTTATAATTCTTGGGTTTTTTCCTATATGATTAAAAAAGAAACAGCAGCCCTAACCGGTTTGGCTCAGTGGATATAGCATCGGCCTCCGGACTCAAGGGTCGCAGGTTTGATTCCGGTCAAGGGCATGTACCTTGGTTGCAGGCACATCCCCAGTGGGAAGTGTGCAGGAGGCAGCTGATCGATGTTTCTCTCTCATCGATGTTTCTAACTCTCTATCCCTCTCCCTTCCTCTCTGTAAAAAATCAAGAAAATATATATAAAAAAG